TATAATATATATAATATATACATATGACATGTATATTATCTCCTTTCTTCTGGCATAATAGTATGTCTATACACGTAATGTATACTTACACTCATAAACAAACCACAGTGACATGCATATTATTATGTTATAAATGACCAAAAATGTTAACATGACAACATAGTTTATGCAAGACACATAACCAGTATTCGTATAGCATTCCGATGGTATTTTGATAAAACAAGCTTTGCAGGTTGATGGGAATGCTTATTCAAAAGTTTCCCCTCCTTTATATTATTATTCATTGAATCATTAATTATTATGTCTCAGACTTCCAAAGCTTTCTCGAACACAGTATTCTGCCATTTCGTCAACAAAGAAACAAGCCAGCTTACACAAAAGCAAAAGTATGTTGAAAGAGAGTTGCAAATACATATATAGAACCAAACGCAATCACGGGATGATGAACTCTCAAGAAACAGTCCTTTATCTTACAATCCGAAGGGAATTTTCAAAAAAGCTTTCGTTTTGTTTCGGAATTACAATTTCTTTTTGAAAAATCTTCCTCCAACTAATTTTCATCTACAATAAACGTCACTCTCTGAAAATAATATCTGATAGTTTTTGTCATTTTAAGTCACAAAGACCTCGAGGTCAGATACCCAAAAAATGTTCAATCCGCTCTATCGAAAGCGTAAGATTATTAATTAGAGTCGTTATCTAGATATCAAAAAAGTGTATTCGAAAAAGCTTAACATGTTGTGAAACTAAAAATTGTTGAGGTCGAATTTCTCAAAACTAGGCACTGAACAGATAGAGCTTTGTGATTCCAAGGTAGCGATTGGTGAATCAGTTGTTACAGCCAATACATTTACATTGACCCTAATATTTGTGACGTTCAGATAAGTGGGATCGGGTTGTATTGCTTTCAAATGGGTGACAAGTTTAACAAATTATATACTCGTAATAATCTCTACTTAGCAGTTCTTTGGGGTAACTGATCATTACTGAATCTAACAATTTAACTATACAAGACTGTAAGAGAGAACAAGTCAATTAAATCCGAAGGTTGGTTCAGCGTCACGGCCTTATTTCTTAGCGGGACGGCCTTTGGTTTTTTAGCATCACGCCTTATTTCTCTGTGGCACAGGTCTTTTTTTAGATGGCCTTATTTCTTAGCAGAGCTTTTACGACTTTGAGCAGACGTGGTGTCCCGTGCATTTTGCCCTTTGGTCATGAAATCACGAGATGTCATTTTATGCAAATAGTCCTTGATCTTGGTCTGACTGGCCTCGTACCGGGTCCGCTCCTGGCGAAGAACACTGGTGATGTTGTGGCGAAGGGGCATCACGGGTTCTGCCTTGAGACGGTTAAAGTTCGTTTTGACTTTGGACGCCTTGGTGCTCTTCATAAAGGTGTCCGGTTTCTCCAAACTGAACGGCCCTTCGGAGTTCTCAAAAGCATCCAAGTCAATAATGCCAAGCTTTTCGTCTTCAGTTTCTTCTTTGCCGTTTGAAGGATCATTTTCTCCAAAGACGTCGTCGTTCACCTCTGCACTCTCGCCAGCCTCTTCGTTTTCGAAGGCTCTGATTTCGTCCGCTAACAATTCCTCGAGTTTTGTATCGACCTCAAACGAGTCGTCAGAGTTGGAGGGGTCACGTGGTCGATCCTCTTCGTGGATAGGACCGTCCTTGGTATTGAACTTACCCACCGCGGGAATCTTGGACAGGGAAGCGCTTCTGGAGAGAGCATCTCTCTTTTGCTTGAGAGTCATGGAGAGTTTGGACGAAGAGTTCCGTCTCTCGAGAGACACGCTGTTTTTCCGGAGAAACTCGGACGAGTCTGTCTCCACTTTACCGCTCGGAATGATTGACACCGAAGGGGAGTAATTAGCAGACCCTTCATCTGGTAGAGTAACCTCTCTTTTCAGATTTTCACCAGAATTAGTTTCTCTACTCCGCTGAATAGATGGGAACTCGGTAACATGCCTATTCTGAAACTGCTGGGGCTTGAAGTCAGAGTCACCCAGAGAGTAAATTTTCTCCTCAACAACAATCGCTCTATTAGAACTTTCCGGTTGGTGGTTCGAATCGCCTTTACCGTACAGGACATCTGCGTCCTCAATCTCGGCATCTCGGTCTTCTAGACTTTTCCTGAAGACACTGGCACTCGTCTGCGGTCTGTCCAAGAGAGATTGGTGGGGTCTGGAGCGCGCGGGATTTCTCGCGCTGAGAGGCGTGTGTTTGTGCAAGTTTGAGAGGCGTTCTCTGCCAGAAACGGACGGGAGGATCTGGTGTCCGTAGCTGTAGCCGGCGCCTGGGAACGTCTTCTCTTTGTAGAGTTGTAGCTGCTGGAGCATCATCACAGACCTTGGCACGTTGGAGCGACGGCTGACTTCTTGCAGGAATCTGAGGGGAGGAAAAGAGGGTGGTTGTTACCATGACAAAAGTACTCGACGCTTTTGTGACTAAGTGTCTGAGGGAACACTTTTGTGTCACTACGTAGTGGAATCAGGCCCTCGTCATTTTTGGGCAGATGAAGTTATTGGCATCATCTTAAAACTTGTTTATTCGATTTGCTTTTGGTGAAAAGATAGATGTATGTCATAAACAAAAGACGAGATATTTGCTGCTGAAGGAGGTGGGGGTCGCCTGGTGTCAGAGGTCAAATTAACAAGAAAAAAATCGCCAAAGTTTGGTACCTTTCGTGAATGTCCTTGGAAACTGAGAATTCAAATTTCTTGTGCTTTTGATCAATCTTATGATTGACCTTATGCAGTTGCGAGCGCCGTGAAACCTCTACTAAAAACTTTTTTTTTTTTCTGAAACAGTAACACTGAAATTTGCTTCTAAATCACCATAAAATGTTTGAAACCAGAGGTAAAAAAAAAATCCGATAAATTTGCCCAACGGGTGGGACAATGCCGGTTTCTTCGATTTCATATAAATTTTGAAGAGTGCCTAATTTCACCATGAGTACCACGCCATTGTTTTCTACAACATTTTGTATCAATTATTTCCGTCGAAGCCCTGAAAACTAAACGATGTAAATTATTATCAAATCAGAATATTATCTCGACTCTTCATTTTATTTTTAATATTTTTGTTACATTTTCGCAATAATCAGCGGCGTCTCTCGTCTTGTGATTAAGCCCCCAGACATGCAATCGTGAGGCACAGTATGGGTTCAGGGGTTCGAGACTCATATTGGTTAGAAGTTGTATCCCTTGGAAGGCACTGTACACGAATTCTCCGTCCTGGCTCAGTCTTGTCGGAGATGGAAGTCAAATTCAGAGGTCTTGTCTCTAAAAGTACCTCACAGCGTTAAAAGAGATATTGGGCTTAAGCCATTAATTAATGTACGTGTGCGCGCGCGCACATGTGTGTGTGTGATTTGTGTGTTAGTGTGTATGTGTGTGTGTGTGTGTGTGTGTGTGTGTGTGTGTGT